ATCAACGGCACCTGCGATGGCGCCCCGTTTGTGATCGGCATGGGTTATGACACTAGCTGCAGCGACCTTCACATCGAGATGAAGTGCGCTGCGTTACGCGGCCGCCATGCCCGCGCGCGCGCACCCTCGCTCACAACCCACCCCACGTTCAGGTTCTCCAGCGCCATCTTCAAGTTTCGCGAGGAGTGGGCCGTCACCGTGCGCGGCAACACCGTCTACGGACACATCAGCGGCCCAGCTCACCGGCTAGACGTCAGCTTCTCGTCGATTGGCGACGCCGCACAGCGCTCTCTCCCGCATGGCATAGTTGGGCAGAGCTTCTCGAACAACGCGCCGCGCGTCGGCAAGCTCGACAGTTGCCCGAAGGCAGGCCGTTTTGCCACTAGCGCCATGGCAGAAGGTGCCGTCGATGGCGAGGCGGCAATGTACCAGGTGACCCAACCGTTTGACATCGACTTTGTCTTTTCCCGCTTCCGCGCCGCTGTCCTTACCGCGCCGGTGGGTGGGATCCTCCCTGGCAAGGCCTCATCTACCGAGCAGAACTTGCCCGCCCTGCTGAATTAACGACGCGGCCTTGGCCTAAGCTTGGCCCGCACTTTGAGCTGCCCGGAAGGATCTTGGTTCCGTGGCGCTGGTCGTTAACAGGGCTCGAGAGCAGGGCTCGAGAGCAGGGCCGCACCACAAATCATGTGCATCGCTTCCGGTGCTCGAGTGTATTGTGTCGGTGCATGATTTAGGCGCCGTCGTCGCGCCGGATTACATTTCTTTTGACGACCTTGGGTCGCCATTGCTCTCGCGGAAAGAAAAAGAAAGAAAATAGCCAGAAACCCCGCAAGGGAGGGATGGGAGGACGGCACGCCGCCACCACACAGTGTGGTTTTGCAGTACCACATTGGGTCGCCAGTTCGAATCCCAGTCCGACGGTCGAAAAATGAATTCCTCTAAGGAGTCCACCGATCGACCGCATCCCGGCCGGTAACCAAACCGGACACATGTTCCGCGACCCGGGGAGTGCGGTTTTGCAGTTGGCGACGGTATATCATTTCCCACTATGCCACGTCGCCCATCCCCCGCCACGGTCCCCCTTTTGCCTTTCTACTCTACCACAACAGCGGCTTCACGCGGCATGCCATCTTTACGCCCTATGCTGGCTACGTTGCCGTCGTGTATGCCACCTGGATTGGCGTCTGCGGTGGAGCGTTTACAACCGAAGCGCTGTACCGGCGCCGCTGTTGCAGCAGTCAGGGGGGGCGCATGCCGCACTGGCAGACAAGGGCGAGCCACTGGGCAGCCCCCCACTCGCCAGCGAGGGCGAGGCTGGCGGCGCTGAGGGCAGGGCCGCCGGCAGCGGCGACGCGGGCAGCCCTGCCGACGGCGGTGACGGGCCAGAGCATCCGGCACCACCGTCACTCCAGGTGCGATGGCGGGCATCATGTCGGCGGGCTCGGCCGAAGGCGACTTCTCGCCGGTCCCGCGCGCGGTCATCACCGGCAACGCCGAGTCGATCAGCGCCGCCCGGTGCGCCAGCCGCCCCCGTCCCGTCGCCGCGCCTCGCTACTCCCAGGCCGGGCGTGGCGCCATCCACCGTCGCTGGACCCGAGCGCTGCTGCTGCTACACCAGGTACTCGGACGCGCAGCGCGATGTCGCCTTCTCCATCGCCACCGCCGGCGGCTTCGAAGTCCCGATGCGCGCGCTCGAGTCGCAAGGCGCCGACCCGAACGCGCGCACGGAAGGCGGAGACACGGCGGTGATGTGGGCGGCGCAGGGGTGCCAGCTGCAGTCGCTGACGATCCTGCACGAGCTCGGGGCTAACCTCGACGCGCAGAACGATATCGGCTGGCACGCGGTCGTCTGGGCCGGCTCCAACGCGCCGGGCATGGTCACGGCCACTCGAAAGCTTGCGGACCTCGGGATGGACGTCAAGGCGGCGAGGCGACCCGCCTCGACGAGAGCGGCCTCGGGCTCGAGGTGCGCTCGCGGCTGACGCATATGTCGCCCGTCATGTGGCTCGTCCCCGCCGCCTTCGTGCCCGGCATACGAGCGCTCGTCGTCGACCACGGCGTCGACATCAACGCCGCCAACGCGCTCGGCCTCACCGCGCTCATGGTGCGCGCCGCTCGAGCTCCGCACCCGCACCCACACCCGCACCCGCACCCCGCCCCCCCCCTTCGCCGCGGCCCAGCTCGCCCGGCTGACCGAGTGCGCTCGGCGTTCGACAGTTCGCTGTGGCCGCGGAGAAGCTCGAGCTGCTCGGCGAGCTCAAGGCTCTCGGTGCCGACGTTGACGCAAGGATGGCGGCGCACGGGCAGACTGCGGCTATGTGGGCCGCGCAAAAGGACGCAAGGGGAGCCTCGACAAGCTCGCCGAGCTGGGCGCCGACCTCGACGCGACGGATGACAACGGGAAGAGCGCGCGCGCGCTGCTGGAGGCGGCGGCGGGTACGACCACCGGCTTGGACGACCACGGCGAGGCGCTGTCGCCGTCCCGCGTGCTAGAGGTGATGTGGCGCGCACCGACGTGCGCCGCGACGTACCTGTATCGTCTCGAGAGCTGCTCTGCTGGTGAGTGGCTCGCCGGGCGGGCAGCGCTGCTCGTCGAGATGCAAGGTCCACGTTCTTGACCTCGTATCGTCGCTTGCGTGTCGGTGGCACACTTTCTTCACTGAAGAGCGTTAGAGAGCTGTAGAGCTCTACAAAAAAAGAAAGAAAACAGACACTCCAAGTGCTCCAAGACAACGCAAGGGAGGGATGGGAGGACGGCACGCCGCCACCACACAGGGATTTTAAGGAGAGGAGTGTGGTGCTAGCCGTCGCCCACCCTAAGCCTTGGTCGTCTGCCTCTTTCTATCTCTCCCTTCGCAGTCCCTCGCCGTTTCTCGCTGCAACCTCCATGCCAGCGGCCCGAATTCTTCTTTTCACCCACATGTGTTCATGCTCTCCTCCACGGCCCAGTCGGGTGGCCTTCTCCCCTGGCTGATTCAGGCGGGGCTCACATTCCGCGCCGGCCCGGATCCAGACGGGTTCCAGGCCGCCATTGTCGGCATCGGCAATGACGCAGGAGACCTCGACAGCCTCGCGGCGTCGATTGCCATCGCGGACTGGCAGCCGGTGGGAGGCTGCGGCGGTCGGCCGCTCTGGGTGCCGATCGCGCCGTTTCCGCGCTCCGATTTTCGTCTACGCCAGGATGCGTGCCTCCTATTCAATCACATTGGCTTCTCATTCGACGGAGCGGGTGCGCCAGAGGCGCTGCTGCACCTCGACGATGTGGACGCCGCGACCGCCCGCCGCTGGAGCGACGCCGGCGGGCTGGGCCTGGCGCTCGTGGACCACAACGCGTGCGTCCCAGGCGTGCGCTCGCTCCTCGGCGATCGCGTCGTCGCCATCGTCGACCACCACTCCGAC